AAATATATAATTGCAAGCAATTGCTTACAAACTTGACATTTTACTTAAATCTGAAATATCAAAGTTCGAACAATCCACGCATTTCCTACTTCGCAACAATCGGATGTGAAAGAGATTTTAATGTGCTAATAAAATTGTGTACAATGAATTAAGTTTAGATTGCGAGTTCTAATACGTTTAAAGAGCAGCAATATTACTAAAAGTGCAGCTGCATATATAATCTATTAAATTATAACTGGTAATAGATGATTATTAAAACTAGAAAACTAAAAAATAAAATAAATCTAATATTAACAATCGACATATAAAATAACTAATAAAATTAAATATTATAAAATGAAAATGTTATTTAATTTATTTATAACATTAAACAACAAAGTTTACGATCGCACTGTAATTACGTTTAGTACCATTTATGCGATCGCAGATATACTCAAAATTAATAATTATATTCTGCAATTGATTTATTTGCATTACCACATACATATGTGTGATAATGTGTATATGTTTCCATATGTGGATGTTTTGTTGTTCAAAAATTGTTGACGGTTTCATATAACGCCTCAAATCATTTTATAACACCCAAAGCGTATTCTTCCTAGAATTTACGCAATTAAGCCAAACGCGGTCAGACGAAGTATAAAAAATTAATCCATACATATTATAAATCTATAATCTATGATTCATATTATTTAAAAATATAAACGTCAAATATTTGCAGCAAAGGTCAGTTTTCAACTTAGGTGGGCTATGGACAACATATTAATTTAGTTTATGCGGTTGCACGCTTCAACTGTGTATAATTAATAAATGCTATTCCCAAAGATTGGTATATTAAAATATCTTGCATATTGCTTTTAAATTTGTTATAGAAAACGTAGACAGACTGTTACTTCGCCTCCGATCCAATATTTCATTCAGACGTTACCCATCACTATGTTATTTTTGATAGGACATGTTCTTTACATTTCTTACAAGAGTAATACAAAATGTTAAATTTTTCATTTCAGAAGATATTATTATGAAATATACAGAAGTTTTGACTTTGTGAGTGCTGACAGCTGCATATTGGTAATATATGGTTCCGCCAGGATGTTTTTCAAGTGTTTTAGTCAAATGCAGTTTCTATATGTCACTTATTAGTGATAAATTAAGTTGCTATATTGCCACCGACTCTATTTATGAAGGAATCTTTCTAAATAGTACTGGATAATACTAGTGAGAAACTTGATAAAAATAAATAATATTTTGAAAGTAAATCTGCTTACTGATGATTTAAAAAAATCAGATTATTTTATGGCTTACAATTAGGAATATTTGATAATGACTATAATTCAAACTGAAGTTAAAAATAAAGAATATTATTATCAAATTAATTGAATCGTTACCTAAATTATTACCTGTAATCATTCTACCTTGACTTATGTCGTACTTGGTGTGAATAATGTTGAAGTTATATTAGAATGCTAGGAGAATTTAAATGGCTTATCCTTAAACTAATATTGACACGTATTCGAGACAATATTGACAGATTTATAAAGCAGAGACTATATTTACTCAACGCGTAAATAGCATTTCTTCAAAACTAGGCTAACTCATACAAAATATACAAAATGTTTATCCAAGATCAACTTGATATTAATTTGGTCACATAACGCGTAATGATACAAAATTATAAATTATATAAAAAATGTACGTTTATAATAATACCACTTCTAATTAAAAAAAAAAAAAAATATTAGCCTCCTCAAGATATATATATATATATATATATATATATATATATATATATATATATATATACATATATATACCTAGTGCTCTTAATAACTCGAAACCGACATTTATATCTATTTCGTATAGACATGTGAGTTTTCTCAATAATTTTGCAATGCTGATATATATTCGTTGCACGAAAAGTCAAGAGGTCGACTATTGCAGTTATGATAAAGACATTAACCGTTCTGGATTTATGTTTTGATTCGGAACTGTAAAATATAATTGGAGCTGCAAGATACTTTCACAAAGATCAGAAAATATATACACACATATATGTTTTTTTTCAGGAAACGTCTTAATAGTATCGCATAGCTATTATGTGGCAAGTTTGTAATAAACAACACAGATCAATTACTTTTATACAATAAACAACATTTGGAAATTATTGGCAGTATCACAAGAAAACTCGTGACAAAAGCGCGCAACACGATTGAAGCAAACGTTTATCCACTTCCCAAAGGCTAGAAAATTAGATATATATTATGACGATCTATAAACTTTCAGTACAATATATGAAGTTATTATACGACAAAATATATTATATATCAAAACTCGTTTCTAATATTTCATTTTGTCTTCGAGTTGTTATTATCCGGCAATCTATATGACCAAGTTATGAATTGAATTACTTCTATTCGTGTTAGACCACGATTAAACAAGTATAACTGTTAAAATAACACCTATGAAAGTGGTAAAATAATTCATTTGCAAAGTTACTTGAGTTATGAAGCAACTGAAATGTATTATCATATATAACAGTTAATAGGAAATATTGCTGAACACTTAGGAAATAATCACTATGCACTATTTTACTTGAGGTATGCTATTTGATCGTAATAAAACAAATATTGTATGAAAATAATATTCCAGTGCAAATTTTATACAAGATACCAAAAATAATAAAATAATTGAGCTATTCATCACTTTATTAAAAATATCTTCCTTTTTTAGGTTTACTCAAATTAATAAAGCTTATAGAAATGATCATTTAACATACACTGTGAAAAAAATCGCAATAAAATTAGTAACACTTAAAAAATCTGAGCAATTTTTGCAAACATTTTAATTGAAATTGCTAAAAATATTTATCAAAAAAATATTGTAAATATTACAATATGTGTCCTTTTATTCCTGCACTTTAAGCCGATTAATGTTATATCGATCTTTCAGTTTTTGTTAGGACAGAGATTTGCATATAATCGCAGGTAGAAACACGTCAATGTATGAGTACGCTTCGTGTAAATAATGAGATGTTATACATGTTCTCAGGTACAAGTGCACCGTAGTTTTTATTGCACATAACCAGCTTTTTGTCTGTTCCATATATAGTAAAAGTTTGCAAATGTCATGTTATTCTTCATAAATGCAATGGACACACACCAATCTACTGTATTTAATGATTTTAAAATAATTGGATTATTTAATAGGTAAAAGTATATAATGGTATTAAATGCAATGTTTGTTTTCAACACATCAATAAATTATCTTTTGAGAAATATTATTATACGGTTGGCAACTAAGTAACTGTTGATTTTTGTTGGAAAATCAAAGACCTCATTTATGGAACTGAATAACTTTATTGTGTAATGAATAGTCCAACATGGTGTCAATAATGGAATTAATCACCGTTTCGATTTGTCAATTTAGGCCGCATTCTTCGGCTGCGTTGTTTAATTTCGTTAGTTGTTCAATGTATGCAGTCAGAATTGATCGTTCGGTTGGGTGGTAAGAGTAAAAGTTATAAGAGTTTTTTTAAGGCTTTGTCACTATAAACATTTATTTGTGAGCTTAGGTTGCCTTTTCAACTTTGCAAAAATAAAAAAGCACAATATGACACAAATTTTTGATTTCATTTTCCATCATTCAACGAACGCCAAACGAAAGCTACGCAATGGATTAAAAACTCTTTTTCGCTGATGGATTTATAAATTGCCTACCATTCATTACCATAAGGTATTTTAAATTTGGATTAAACCCAAAAATTCAAGTGGAATCATCTTATACAGGGCTTCTTGAATGTTTGTTTATCGCGACCCCATCTATGTTTGCAAATTTCTTGACGACCCCATTTATGATAGCGAGTTTCTTGACGACCCCACACAAATATAATAACAAATTTAAATGATTTATTCATTAGGTAACAATATACATATACATATTCATATGAAAATATTAATTATTATGTTCGTTGCACAACATACAAAAATCTAGACATGATGTTATAAAATGATATACATAGATGACATTAAAATCTCTCGCGATCTTAGAATTTTTCTAGGCGACCCCATTTAGGATCGCAACTCATAGTTTAAGAGGCGTTGATCTAATATATGAAAATTATTTTTTAAATTATTATTTTTATGTAAGATAACAATATAGTATTATATTATTGAATGATTAAATGAAATTAAAACTGAAGAAGTATTATGCAGTTGCTTAAGACAGAATAAAAAAAAAGGTGATACATGAAAAAAATGATCTTCATTTATTACATTGCCCAATGCAGCTCTGAATAAGCCACCCATATAGTGCCTACAAATACTTTCAAAATTTTCCAAACTCCTCATACCGTCCGTTTCCCACAGCAAATCTCGACCAAACATACCCACACATCAAAATCCTCTGCGTTCTCTATCTACCTTTGCGATATATCTCTGTTCGCGCTACCATCTTCAGCGGTCTCTTCTCTGGCTCATCGGAAAAGTGACGATTGGCTCTCACCTGGTCCGAGTCCGACCCGCCGCCCAGGTGTTCTTTTACCTGCGGGCGTGGCCTGGCCGGAGCAGAACCGCCTCGGACCCGTATCGGCGCATCGTCTCTTTCGAACCTGCAGGTTGCGACATTTGCGGCGTCTCACTCTTCAGCGCGCGGTCGACGGATTGCGGCCGCTCGCACCGAATGTTCATCTCTTGTCGTGTGCACCACTGCCGGTCTAGCAACGACAGACTAGTATGTCATAAGCGGTCAAAACGAAACAAGGTGTCAGAAATTGCATATCGATATCTGTACCTGTGTCTGTATATATGCACATACAGCTAAATGTGTACATTCGCGTAACGAACGCGCCTACAAGAAATTAGCAAAAAAAAAAAATAAAACATTAAAAGAAAAATAGTTTTACAACGTTTTTTGTCCGAACGTTTTTATATCATCGCGAGTTTCGTTTTAGTTGTAGAACTTTTTGTTTTATTTTACACAGTTTTCACGAATCGTTTCGCGGCGAAGGATAAGGCTCGATCTGATTTAATTGACGCAAAACAGTTGAACTGTTACGATATGAAATGTGTGTGATACTGTTCTATTGTGTGACGTTGCGATCGAACGAAGGATCGTCCTTTAGTGAAGAATAGTGATATTTCGAAGAATTTTGGAAAAATTAGATCTGTTTGCGGATACTTTTCTCGGGTGCTTTTCATTTCGGAAACGTCGAACGAAGAGGTCATGCGATTACAGAGTGGGTTCTGGATGTGCTGGTCGACGCTCTGTTGCGCGTTGCTGTGCACGACCGAGGTCAGCGCGAAAGCTCGACAGGGCAGAGGACGAGGCAGTATGTGGTGGTGAGTAGAGCTTTCGTAGAGCCTTTGGCATATTTACTTGTAAGTAGGCAAAATTAAAAAAGATACCGTTCATTACTGTTAATTTATATTGTATATTTTAAACCACACTACACAGTACAAAGATTGAATACATTAAAAATACTTCAAAATTTCAAACACTAGTAATAAATTTATTAAGTGTATTTATATTATATATTTCCCTATTAATTTTAATTTATAAAATAATATTTTATTGCTAATAAATAAAATTAGCAAAATAAAACATTTCTTCATTACAATATTCCCATTTTGTACTTATCAAATATATGGCCTATAATCAAATATAGAGCATTTAAGTTGCATGTCTGCTTTGCGTTCAATATTTTATCATAATTAATATGACTTTGAAAGGATGAAAAGAACAATGCCTAATAAAATAAAACAACCTTCAAGATATCTAGGTACGATAATTACACAATAAATAAACAATATAAATTATTGTTAAAATATATTGCATGATCACGATAAGAATTACGTAAAATACATATCAAGCGATTATTTATTTAATTGCTTATTATGTTATTTTTAAATAAATAACAAAGCAAATAAAAATTTCAACAGAACAATGACATCATATAGGATGTAACTCTGTAGACGAAGCACGTTTTAGCACTCAATTATAAGATTTGAGTTAATTATGTTTAGCAAACAAATAATATTTTTCCTCCTACAATTAATTTAACGCTCATGTCATCGTGTTATTCTATATTAACATGCATGTTTATTAATTGGCTTTTACAGATTAATAAAACATAAAATTGCATACTAAAATATTAGATTAAAATCTAAACGTTTATAATTACATAAATTGCATCGCCATAAAATTTTTAACTTGCGTAAAAGATCAATCATATGTAACATTGTTAACTTCATGACATACTTATGAATATTAATTGCCTTATTAATAATTGATTGACAAATTGCCGCATAATAATAATTGCAGAGTTCACATGAACGATGTGACAATATAATTACTTGATTAAATGACATCAGCGGATTAAGCTAACTCGGAACTCCTTCGTCGATTGAGTGAATTTCAATTATGATTTTAATAGATAGTTATATTTATTTTTTATGTTGAAATTAGCGCTAATAATTGAAATAATTTCCACATAAAAATATTGCGATGCTGCTTTATTTATTTCGCATAAATAATCAATTTTAAACAACTATTTATTTAGCTTTATATTATGAATTTCAGTTCATTTTTATTTTATTTAATCCCTTATATTGATTTGTCTAATTATATATTTTAATTAGTGACATTATTACTAAATCATATAATTTAATATATATAAATAACTATTCTGCAATGTCGATTTAAAAAATGACAACAAATAGTTTTACAAATAATAATTATTGAATATAATTTAATTAACGATTTATCATCACTTCAAATACTGCTGAAAATTGTTTTCATAAAATTATATACTTAAAAATCTAATCATTAAGTTAATGTAAAAAAAACTATATTGATATAATTATATAAAATTAGTTTAATGTAATTATAGATCATAATCACTAAATTATATTTACATCTTAATGATCAGCATATTTACAGATTAATTGATAAATTATTAATCAAACTATAAAATAAATTGAAAAATGATAAAATAATCTTTATTATCGTTGTTAAATCGATTATTGCCTTATTAAATATGCATTATTACCTTGAATAATGCGAAGAAGGTACAAAAAGCGATAATATGGCGATAATCTACTATTAGTATATTTAAAATAAAAATACTTATTACAGTTATAGTTATAAATCAATACCGAATAATAAAGGCATTTTCATCAAAATCTATTATAAAATTAAGTAATTATATAAATGAATTTACCGAACAAGCGATCGTAAAAATCGTAATTTTGTACATTAATTCAATTGCTCTCATTTGTTACTTTTTCCTGTCCAATTTACGATGATCAACAAAAATTTAACCCAAATTATACAATAGTAAAGGTTTTGCCAATTGCCGAATAAACTAAGAAAAATTAGTAATAAGTAAATAATAATTCATATATTAAGAATTTTTTTTAGAAATCAGAAAGAGACTGATATTTATATTTTAACATTCTCTCTTGATTCACTCATAATATTACATAGGCAAATAAAGATTTCAATTAATCGTCGTGACATGTGATTTGAACAAATATTCTAGATCCAATAATGAGAACTTTTTCAATATCGTATCACTGGACTAGATCTAGTCTCAGCTATTTCTGAAATATTTCGATTGTCCGATCAGCTTTGGAATTAAAAAAAGCAGTGAACTGCTAGTCACATTTGTTTAATATATATATTCAATATGTTTATCAACAAATCGATTATCTCAAAACCATTTAAATACCAATATTCATTCATTATAACTCCCATGCTTTCTCTACCATTCACAATCCAAATCTTCCTAATACATAAATAACCTGACAGGAAAATTTCACTAAAACGTCAACGCCATTTGCCACCTAGGTAGATCTAATCAAATAATATATTTAAGCTTTAGTAATATCATAATCAAATTTGAATTATATTCAAAGAACTTGTCAATAAATTATCAATAATAACATCTAGCAACCGGTTCGAACTACTACAAAATACATAAAAACACAAAACTGTACTGATTTATGGTATATGCGCATTCCTATGTTAATAATATATTATTGAGAGATTTTATATGAGTCAACTTAATTATCATATTAAATTAAATGTAGCAAACTAAATAGTTCAATTAGTATTTATATGTAATTTTTCTAGAATTTATGGGTTTTAAAAGCATTTAAAAGAAACAAATACAATATTTCTTTAATGATTACTCTAATTATGAATGTATACTTATGCACATTTAATTTTTAAGTCGTTAAAAATTATATTGCATTTTAGTTGAACAAAAAATTAAAATTAAACCTCAGTTTAGTGATAATTAAATATTATTTCAAACTGCTTTATATTTATTGAATAACAAATTGGAAAGCTGTTCACAATATCTCTACTAATCTGTAATATTTCACTTTAATCTATTTATCTATTTTCTCTTTAATCATTTTATAAATTATTGTGGAATTATGAATGGCATAAAAAATATTATAATGATATAAAATATGAACAATATACTAATTGCTTTTTAGTACCTTTATCGTAATAATCAAAGTAAGGCAATAATAGATTTAATACAGATATTAATTTTTATTCTTTTTTGGATTTGGGTTATTCTAATTCATTGTAATAATGAATAAAATTCATAAAGTAAATATCTCTTCTAAACACTCCGTAATGGTAAATTTGCAGTTGGAACAATATCTGAAATCAATTATTTGTAAACGCAAAGAGTTAATACAGCATAAAATTAAATATGATTTTTCGATAGCTAATTGATTTAACAATGTATCTATATTTGATTAAATTATACTAAATTCTTATGAATTAGAAATCATTTTGTATTGAATACATGAATCCGGTTAAGGATTAATGTAATAACTTAATAACGAAACATATATTTTATTTATATCACCGAGTTCATCGTGAATATTGATAAATACTTAAACAAAGTTACATTCGTCCTGGCTCACATAGCGGGCAAAGAATTAAAAAATAAAATAAAATAAATGAATATAGGGATACATGTCCAGAGCATCGGACTTATCTATTCTAAGAGGTATTTAATGTGGTTTCATTAAGTGACTGGATTTGAATTTCTTGTTTGCGTACATTCGGATCGATTCACAATCACATGGGCATTTGAAGATGAACACTAATGTATTCGTGACCATAATAAAATTGTGTCAATTTAGATTAAAGTCAGTAATAAAATAATCTTTGTTACAAATTTATCACGGGGCGACTCGCTTGTCGCGCGAACGAATAAGATGTAGGTAAGCATATATGTAAATTTAGCAAAAATAAAAGACACAATATAAAAGATTACATGCATACCGGAGACTTCGTTAATATGTGCATATGAAATATTTCACATGGCTAATTGGACATATCGATATTTGTATGTCTTTGTATACATTCTAAAGTATGGAAAAGAGAAAACAAAAGTGGAATGTTCGCATTAGCTGGTTTTATTTTTTAGCTTTATACTATCTATATATAACAACGTAAGAAGTTAAAATGATTTTTATCAACTTCTTATAAATATTCGTACTAATTTATAAACAATGAAATCAATTATTGGAATATATTTGTTAATCTAAAAGTATTACTAATTACGAATATTACCTCTCAAACTAATAGTATAGACAAAACACTATGAAATATTTGTTGAAACAAAAACATTTAAACTGATTATTGTGAGCGAAATGCGTTAGCAGATCTCGTGTTCTTTTTAGACTTTATTATAGAACTATCAAGTATTTTACCATTTTACAATCTTTGTTAAATACTCCATGTTCCTATGGAACTTGCCAACAAATTTTAGTGCACTTTTTTTAAGAAGGGTCTCTAAATGTTAACTAATTTTGAAAATTGTATAACAATAGTTTAACAAATAGTCTAAATTCTAGAAAACTTTGGTCAATTGTGTCATTATTTCGGTCCTAAAATCCAAGTGAAAATATGGTCCTAGTAATGTTATATACGGTTGAGATTTCAAAGTTTAAATAAACAAAAATAATCCACAATAACTGAAAATGATCACAGCCTGACCAAAGCTCTTGGTTGTACTGAAAAGCTCATAACTAACTAATTTACAAACTGCATGAGATTTTTTTTTAAATATTTTTCATAGCTACGATCATTACTATCACACGGTTTTGGCGTGACATTGAATTTACATAAATACTAATACAGTATCATAACAATTATACAAAATGTATATATCCTAATCTGAACTTAAATATTATTATCAATATCAAATGTAATCATATCAAGCATTAAATGTGCAGCTTCATTTTTAGAAAAAGATTCATTTTATTATCATTTAATCGGATATTAATTTTCAATTCCGAAATTAATATGTGTTTAATTTAATTATTCGACTGGATACATAACGATAACGTTTCTGATCTCTCTTCTTAATTCAACGATATTTTAAATCCTCTGTTTTTCTCACGATGTCAGAGCGTCGGTGGCTCATTTGATAAAACAGTCGATAAAAGGTATACCGTTTCATAAGAGCGAAAGAAACGTCCGCGAACGAGACGCAAGCGGCGGAGCGTCTCCTCGGATGTTAAAGACCACGCGGTCATCGATTCGGGTTGCGACCGACTAATTCGGGGAAGCGAAACCTTTAAAAATCCTTTGAAGTAATAGAATGCAAACTCGGATTTTTAATTATTTTTCTAACAAAGTTTTAAATTGCAAAAACAATTTTTTAAAAAAAATTCTCACGCAGATTTTAATTTCAGAAATTTGAACACTTTCAATAATTTCTAGACAAAATTAGTTTCTCAATTCAAAGACTAAATCATTTCTAAAACAGATTTTAATTTCAGAAGCATAAACACTATTAAACATTTTTAGAACAGATTTGAATTTCAGGAATTTGACGACTCAATGTCAGAAGTTTGTGAACAAAACTAAAATGATAAAATTGAAATACACTTTTCATTAATCAGTTATTAAATTTATGGTAGAATTTTGACATCCTTGGGTATTCGTGTAACAAATACACAGTTCTTACATAAAAATGCAATTGTAAAAAAATATACGAGATGAATCTGAAATATGATGTTTAAAAAATAAAGAATGAAGAAAATTAAATAAAAGATGTAATTGGCCAAATGTACATGCTTACTATGCCAAAAAAAATATGTATAATTATGATATTATTATTACAAATACAAATTTGATTAATAATTAGTAATGGCATTTAATAAACTAAAGAAATAAACAACCTAATGATCAATATCACCAGTAATAAATAATAAAAGCGCATTATTCATTTATGGTAAAAAATCATATTCATATTTGAAATCCAATGCATTTATTTAATTTGATATATATTCAAAATTATTATTTTAGTTTTTCAGAGTATAAATTTGCAAAATTAAAAACGCAATTATGTATTTTTACATAACAAATTATATTAAAAATTCTCTGTGTAAAAATATTATTCGATGGTAGAAAATCAATTTATTATCTAATGCATTGAGTTTCTAAACTACGAGTTTATTACCTCTGATCTAAGCAGCACGAATGAGACGCAGGACATTTTACTAATAAACACTGAACATCGAGAACAAATAAAAATGAAAACTGAACCTCGATATCACTTCGAGCTTTGGGACTATCGGAAGCGCTAAAGCTACGGGACATCGAATTCAATAATTCTTGATCCGAGCTCGTTGGACCAAAAAGAATTTCGATTTTATCTTAGGATAGAAAATAATATTAGATCAATTTCTACCATTAAAATTTACAAAAAAAAACTCAATTCAATTTGTGATTGCTGTTTTTATCAATGGGCAATCATGAATTATTTTTAAATGTGAGAAAACTGTAATTCCTAATATTGTCAATACTAATAATACGTATGCATTAATTGCACTGACAAGTCTACATGTCAATTTTCTTAGAAATCTATCGTCACTCCAGAAAATGAAAAGAAATTACTAAAAAATTCCTGAGATCGTCACTTAACTCGCTCTCGGCTTTAACACTTCAAATATTATCCTTTTAATATAACCACAAGTGTAAACGCGCACACACAAGCGCACAAAAGGAATAATATTTGATTTATTTATACATTGTTTAAACATTTCATAGCTCATTTGTTTATTTAAAACAAATAGTCAAAACCTTTTGTGCCTGTCCTTTATTTGCTTTATTATATCGTCTTTAATCTTTTATTTGATCAGCGTTTTTCTTTGTTTTTCAATCGACAGACAGGTGTTGCTGCGTGGGGACATAAATGTATGTCGAAGTTGTAAATTCTACTGATATCATGGAATCGGTATTTAACGATAATTAGTATTGAAATGGAAATTGAGTAACAAGAGCGCGCACCTATGTTTATGATATGATGACTTTTTTACAACGTTTACAATGAATAATTTGTAATCGTCAGTTCTCGATAAAATACATTCAGGAACTGATTATATACACTTGTAAATTGACTCACGATCTTAACAAAAACAATATAATTATGAGTAGTAATAATTGAGCAAAGAACATGAACATGAAAAAGCTGTGGCAACATGACAAGCCATAGTAATAAAGAAGATCAATATAGTTTTTTTTTTAATTTTATAACAAAGTTGTGAAAATTCAAAAGACAGAAATAAGAATAAATTAACAAAAGAAAATCCACCGTAATAATCTGCTAAGTGTTTTTTGCACAGTTTGTATTTAATGACCTTAACAAAGTATCCCAAAAGATGTGATGGTCATCTCATTGGCGTTAAGCTGACAACGCGCCATACAACTTACAACCCGTTCAGTTTTCCTACACGCTGAATCAATATTGAGAGCTGCCATTACTCTCGTCATATAAAGTGGACTTCGGTGTTTTTGTTAAATAAACACACACATAACATATTCATTCTTTATGTTTAAAAACTCGTACACTATTTTAAGATTTCATTCAAGCAGGTATATCGCTCAGAGTCGCGAAACGTCAATATTTATTTACGTATCTTTATCAATATATTTCATAAACCCGGTTTTGACTGCTCATAATTGACTCATTTTTTCATTCTCTGATGTGTTTGTATTTTTAATATATTTGTAAAAATTATGTTGACCACAAACTATTTAAGTGTTATTGCTATCACTATGCAAATTGTTATGTGTTTCGTAACTGAATAATGTTTATTCAACCATCATGCAAATATAACGGCGCAGATGCTCAGTTTCGCGCATTTAGTATGCTAAAATATTAATCAAATACAACTTCTGTTTTAAACAATGAATTGTAAATAACATGTTATAAGTATAATTTAAGTGATACTTGGTAAAATAATAGTAACTTTCTTTTTTAGAAAATTAACGACTCTATAAATAGATTTATAATAGAATTATAAAAAATAAAAAAATATCAATGATATTTTAAATAATTATTTATATACAAAAATAATAAGTCATTATCTAAGCGGATATTTTATTTAATTATTTAAACTCGTAAATAAAATTAAAAATTATAAAATATATAAAAATAATATTTTTAAACGCTCTGTACGTCATTTCTCTGGAAAGATGAAAGTATACACACACATATAAATATATATTTATATATATATATATATATATATATATATCTGCATGTGTGTTTGTATGAATTTATGATTTTCAATAACTAATTGCATTTTTCTCCAGGGGAATTGCGAAAGCTGGCGAACCAAACAATAAAGCTCCTCTGTCGCCCGGAATGATGTACATGGATCCCGCCATCCACGCGACTCTGCGCCGGAAGCAGAGACGCCTGGCGCGGGACAATCCTGGTGTCCTGGTCGCAGTGGCTCAAGGAGCCAGCCTTGCCGTGCAAGAATGTCAACATCAGTTTCGGGACAGACGATGGAATTGTACGACCAGAAATTTTTTAAGGGGCAAAAACTTATTTGGAAAGATCGTAGATAGAGGTGAGTGGGTGAAATTTTACTACAAATATAACGTCCAGCTGCTGTAAAGCTTATTACATTTTAGGTGGTAAATAGCGTCTAAGTGCTAGAAATGATAAATTTATTCATTCATAATACTCAATTAAATTTTTCGAATCTAAATGAATTGGAATATTCAATACAAAAAATTGAATGGTGTCTTATTAATATATCAATAGCGCTGAAGCTATAAATCTTTCACCTAGCAAGCATTTTTGTACCGAGTTTGGTATACATATGTGCAAAATGTTACCCGGATACAAAAGTCAGTTCATTCCCTTCACGATGTCTTTCCATTACATAGGAAATGAAATCGCGCTTTATATCCATTGCTATATAGTAAAGATAAAATAATATTCAGCGCATAAGCTTCATAGCTTTCTAACGGCACGTACATAAAATTTTGTAGTTTATGCAGTTTTGGAGTACAATAAAATCTTTTGTAAACTTCATAAATGTTAGCAGATATATATATATCCGTGATTAAGCGATTTTTTATATAGAAACTATTAAATCATATTACAATCTTACACTAAAAAGGAAATAGAGTTTTGAATAGCTTGATGAATAATACATAAATTCTTGAATAACCTACATAAGGTTTTATTGCGTAGAAAGTAATATTAGCTCATAGTTGAATCTATCACAAATTATTACCTGATGGATTGTAATAAGTAAAAACTTATTGGATAAATAAAAAAAATATTACAAGGTACCTTAAAATTCACACACCCCACATTAATCTTTTAACCGGTACTTTGTGAGAAAGTACATGAAGCTGCCGGTCATCACATTTGATGGTATCAGAGATTATTACACGGAATCATACATGTAATCATGGTATCTCCCGGCGATATCTTTGTTCTTTTCTTCCTCTCGGCATTTATTCGAGCTATGCATTTGCCTGTTCAATCGGATATCGTGTTAAAGAGAAAATAAGAAAGCGCTGGTATTCAAATTATTGTAGTTAAAAAAATTCAAATAAACATATATAATTGAAAAATAGATTACAGAGGAACTAAACACTTTGGATGTCATTCAACAAAAATAAGTTACGATTTGAATCAAAACTATTTCTAGAAAGCTATTTGATAATAATCTTTAAAATTTTCTAATTTGTTCCACAGAACATAAATGGCAATTTTATTTAAAATGAATGGATGAATTGAAACTATTTAATTTTTACTCACAGTTTTTATATAATGAGTAATATCTTCATCAGCCTACATATTGAACAGCATTTTCTCGAACGTTTGTTCTGTAATTGAATATCAGAGACATTGTTCTAACAGGAATATCGCGTGATAGTTGCTTACTTGTTAGTAGTTAGTTAAGTTAAATTGTTCTGCAATCGGTAATAAATTCAAATCGGTTACAAGACACGACAATAGTAAATCACACGTTTCAGAAAATATACTTGAATGCAACAATAATGAATTACGTATAAATCATTAATTGGGCAGATAGAAACAGACACATTAGATGAGAATTATGAACACAACTAATATTTATACAGCTAATTAATTAGTTGTTGCAAATTAGAAAAAAAGTATAATTTTTAGAATAAAATTTATTTATTGCTA